CTGTTGTCAGACATGTAGACAGTAATGGGCTGTTTTGCTTGGCCTGTTGTCATGCAGGTTGCACCTTTCTTTCTGAAAAGTGACCTGCATTAATTGAGCCTGGTCATGTGAAGACTCAGTCCACAGAACCCTGAAGCTGCACCACCACTGCTTCACAACCACCAGTTTATCAAGTTCACACTCAGTGTGCAAAACCCCGAACTGGAGAATTAGTTGTTCCTGGTAATGCACTGTCTGCGTCATCAACAACATCATTATGTTGATGACTCCCAGCCGCTGCTGCTACATAGCTGGTGGTCGCTGGTAAGTTTATTAATATTGAACGTATCAAGAGTCCAATTCAATTTGACTTTGCACTTCCTTGGGTCATTAACAATACACATGCCAAGTGTGAAGCTAATAAGATTAACGGTTTGAAATCTGTCTCACAGACTTGAGGTTCTGTGTCCAAATCCTCCTCTGTCACTTGACTCTAAACACTGGACCATGTTTTACAGCTAAGTGTCCATGTTTGTTTTTCTCAGTGTATGACCCCCCAGCAGCTCATGAGCCTGAGCGAAGCGGCCAACCGCTGTGATGTTGTCAGTGTGAGGGTCAATGCTGTCGCCATTCTGGGCATCACTGGCAGCACGTTAGCCAAAGAGAAAGGCACTGCTGAAACCCTTCAGGTAAACTGCTGCTTCTCTTTTTCTTCTTCTTTTCTGGGAGTATTTGTTCTTCCACTAAGAAACTGCTCCCACAGATGATTGGAAACGCCTTACTTCAAGTTGCCACAAGGGATGCTGACCTGGTTGTGAACGGAGAGGCGCTTGACGCCTTGTTTGATGTGTTTGCGGACGGAGACGAGGCGGAGACAGCTGCTAAAAACATCCAGTTGCTACCTGCACTGAAGGCACTTCACCCTGTCTTTAAGGCCAAGGTAAAAGAGATTCAATTCTTCTAACTGAACACTATTATTTATGATCCTTCAACATTTTTCTGCATTAACGTGCAAATTGATTATAAATCTGTCTCCCACCACTGCACATTTTTTCTCCTCTTTGTAACTGGTATCGCCTCCTACTTTCTTTCATGTGTTCCCCTTTTCAACGTTTAAAAGCTATCCATTCATTGTCTATACGGCTTATCCTCATGAGGGTCACAGGGGGAGCTGGAGGAAATCCCAGCTGACATTGGGCAAGAGGCAAACTCTGTAAACTCTGGACAGGTGGCCAGCATATCACAGGGCCAACAAAAGCTGTATTCAGTCATGCACTTAGCTCCAGATAATCTCCTGACATTATCCGGAGGGGCTGTATATGAGAACACAAATGTCCAAGTGTGAGGCTCCAGACTTTCTCCCGAGGTTCTCTAGCCAGCTCCCTAGTGAAAATCTGCAGGATTTCAGAAGAAGCTCATGTGAGAGCACAGCAGGAGATCCTCCGCAGGATTCACCACGAGTGAGTGTGTGACGTTCGGTAAGTTTATGGGGATAAGAGCCATCGCCAGTGTTGATTTACTTGAAACTAAAATAAGAGATTTCCACGGTAGAATTAATGTTACATCCAGCCTCTGTCCGGACCCAATTCTGGTGACATTCTCTGGAGTTCATGTCTGAAAACAGCTTTACAGAGACAAACAATCATTCACACTCACATTCATTCCTACAGTCGATTTAGTGCTGCAATGAACTTAACCTAAATCTGCATGTGTTTGAAATGTGGGAGGAAGCTGGAGTACCCTGTGAAAAACTACACAGACACAGGGAGAAAATAGAAACTCCACACAGAGAGACCCCTGTAGGAACCGGGAACCTTGTTGCTGTGAGGCAACAGTGCCAACTACCACACCTCGTGCTGCAACTTTAAAAATAATAATACATTTTCTTTTTCCTCCTAGATTCGTAAAGAGGGAAGAGGCAAGTACAGCCCTCAGCAGCTGTGCGTGCTCGACAACATCAAGGTGAACCTGAGAAGATTCATCGGTTATCTGGAGAAGCTGGGGAAAAAATGAGGACTTTTTCAAGTACCGGTGGAACACGTATGGTTTGGATGGATACTGTATGCTAGCAGGAGTACAGCATCGAACAGGAAACGTTTTTGAAACCTTCAAGTATTTATTATGTTGGTAGTAAACCATTTGTTAATGCTTGGTTTCAATGTTTATATTCTCTAAATAACGATTTACTATTTCACTTAGTGATGTGAAAGTGTATTTGTTATGAAGAAAGAAGAGTGGAATCTAATAATTATTATTTACTGTGTGTTGCAGTAAAGATTTGTTTACCTTACGTTAAACTCAAAAAGGATTTTGAAAGAGAATGTTTTCATACTCCCCAGATCAGGTGTGTTGAGGTGACAGCAGGCGTCCCCACGGTTACTTTTATTTTTATTTTTATTTTAGCCCCATGTTTCTATGAGCTACAAATTTGATGCTTTTAAATCCTGCTGGTCCTGATGAGGGCGTGTGAGGTATTAAAAACCAACACTTTGTTAGGGTGAGATTAGTTTCAGCTACTAAATGTAAAGGAGATTTTTCCTTATGGAATCATTATTTTGTTAAAGTATCCGCTTGGTCAAGAGAAACTAAATTATGATCAGTCATTTCACTAAGCTGATGGGGTTTGGCACGCTCTCTGCAAAAGGTATAAGACTACAGTCGATTAAGACTGACGTTGTAGCCTGTAGAATAAGCACATGTTCTCTACCTCGCTGTGTGTCCTCTGCATCCCTGGTGTTACACTACTCTGATGCATGGAGTGGTAACTTTTCTAGGTTTTGCAGGTCACCACAGCAACCAGCTCTCTACTGAGAGTATTCATCTCAGTACAGTTATAAAATAATTGCCAAACAATGAAACAGAAGACTTAGCATTTCTGAAACCAATAATGATCATCCAGCATCTGGTATCGCTGATATGACTGACAGTTCTTTGCTACAACACAGCAGGTTTGAAATAAAGTCAATCCAGAGTAGTGTCATTCATTAGGCTCCTGATTAGAGGGTTTTTATTTTGACTTTGCTGATTTGTGTTTTTGACTTTTCAGTGGAGTTTCATAGAAATACACTATCAAAGATTTATTTAAGGTAGAATATGTCATCAGGTTATGAATGAATGCTTTCTTTAATAAATAAATCCTGGTTTCTGTAAGAGATTTCTTTTGTTTTCTATGACCAAGTTTGGGACTTGTATGTCTTGGGATTTTTATGTCTCCAAGCAAATGCTGAACCAATCAATTAAAAGGTAACTAAACTATATCTTCAACAGTGTTTTGTGTTTAATACTTAATATAATTTTTATTGCCATGATGTTTATCTTGAATTTAAAGTATATAAAAACACAAAACAATGGCCAACAACCATCCATTCAGCACATTATATGATTATCCACTGGGAGAAAGATTTAAACACATACTCTGACGTGAAAATATCTGACCAGAGACTCTGGGATGTTTTGCATGGTCATTCCTTGGCTAATTAGCAGAAATCCTTATTTCATTTGAATGATTTTGTCTTTCAATCCAGAACAGATAACATTGTGATGTTAAGGAGACGTTTTTCATACATAGTGAAAAATAGTGTGTGGATATGTGGGCATTAACCAAGATTACAAACTTGTTGTCTCATAAACAATAGCTTTAATTTGAACCTTATGTGACATATCATTTAACTAAAGTCAAAGATCCTTGTGTGCTCAGTTATGTTCAGGAAGATTACCCTCCTGGACATTGGCAGGCTGGAGGCCTATCCAGACGAATGCAGCCTGTTGGATGTGTGAGCTCAGCAGAATTGAGGATGAGGTTTATTTTTTTGTTTTACTGTCCTGTTTGTGAGGACTAATGGAACATTCTTTTCATTTAAATGTCCTCTGTGCTAAATTCTTTTGGTTGGATAATTTTGAAAGACTTGAGTTGTGGGAGGTTTTTTCAGATTTTATTTGAGGCGGGTTTTCTTTTATGAAATGTAAGAAATAAAAAGGTTGCTGGAGTGCTGCAACTTTACTTTTTGTGTCTTATAAACCAATGAGTGTTGGGCACATGTGTACATGGCACAAAAATAAAGAAACAATCAGTCATTCAAACACATGTTGTTTTAACAGTGGATATTACATTGTAAAAAAAACTATTTACAGTCACGCTAAGAATCAATATTCCAACAATACACGCTGTGTTTGTGATTAATACTTGATGTAATTGTTGCTGCATTACATTTCCTAATGTGTTCATTTTTAGTAAAACTGAAAAACCCCAAAAAGCAACACACCCAGTGAGTATGTCAGCACTTGACACTATTACACAGACACAGAGGGTTGCTTCTCCATGACTTCAGATGACATTACATCACATACATTGATTTCCTGTAGACTTACTTTAACTGTAACCATAGTAACTACTTCCTTAACCCTTACCCTAACTTTGATCTAAACCTGAAACATGTCTTCACCTCAAAATGTAATGATTTGTTTCCTTTTTGTCCTCATTAGGAAGACAAGTCCCCATAATGTGACCTTGTTAACAGCTTTACACAACATGAGGACTGCACACACACGGATATGATATATTTTAAATTAGTGCAGATAGCATTGGAATAAGAGATCGCCTTGGGAAATTGTCACAACTCTTTTAAAAACTAAGCGTTTCATTAGGCAACACATTGGAACTTATTGTGGAAATGCCTTTTACTAACATCCCTGTGGAGAAGCTACTTTCCCACAGCACACCCATAACTGAGTGTTGTCATCACAATGTTTTGTGATTTGTACCCCACCTAGTACAACATGTACTGAAAGCTACTGGATGTGCATCATGGGTTCAGTGTCAGATTAGAAGTCAGGCAGAGGCACGTGACCTCTGACCTCTGCGATCGGTCCAGTCACAGATCGGTGGGGCTCAAAGCGCAGCACCGAGCCGGAAACAGAACCACCGTGGGCTGGTGGGCTGGGTAGTTGCATCTTTGCATCGTGTCCGCGTTACTCTGATAGATAATAAATGTCACGTCGTTATGTAAGTAAACACTCTTCTCTGTTGCGTAACGACGGTGCCTCCGCCCCTCGACCCGCGCATGCGCAGACGCTGCGTGCGCTCCGCCATTGAGGGAGCCACTATCAGGAGGACGGGGTCAGAGGCACTTCTTCTCCGACCGCCTGCAGCCGCACGCTTCTCCAGCATTCACACCGCGACTCCGGGCTCCAGACGCCGCTTCTCAAAGCCTGACTCGCACTCGTCGTGATTCCCGTGGGTGAATTCGCTCGTCAGCTGCGTGTACCGCCACCACAGAAGACCGAGTGTCTTGTTTCTTTTTAAAACCAGACTGTGATAGTAACGGGCAGCTCAGCTAGCAGCAGCAGCTATTGCGAGGCTTCGGCAGGCTAGCTGACGTTAGCTAGCGCCCTGGCTAGCTAGCTAGCCGCACACGAGCTGAGCAGTGCTCGCTGGTGCGGGCGGGGGGGGGCGGTGTGCCTACAGTGTCGTTTGATGGATCCGAGGATCGCCTGGTTTCAACCAGAACAACGCGGACCCGCTAACAACCTGTGGATGCAGATCTGGGAGACGACCCAGGGGCTCGGCTACTTGCACGTCAATAACAGCTACAGCAGCGGATCGCAGAAAGCTAGCGTCAACGGAGCCGTCCTCGGCAGCAGGAACGGGGCGCTCGACTCCAACACCGCCGGCAGCGGGGAGCCAGGAGCCAGGACCCAGGGGATGTCGACCTCAACGGGGGACGGAGGAGTAACGGAACAGCGGGACTTTATACCTCTGGAAACCAACAACAGCAACTACAACAACCGAGCCCCTGGCAGGGGCGGTGTCGGTGTCGGAGGGGGGCAGCAGCAGGGCAGCGGGGTCGCCGTGCTCTGGAGGGGGCTGACAGACGGACACCCCAACAAAAGGAAAAGAGACAACAAAGCCAGCACTTTCGGATTCAATGCCAGCCTCTTGAACAGCGGCCCCGACACGGGAGGCTACGATGGTTACACCGGCACTCCGTGGAAAGTCAGGAACTACTCGGAGGGAATAGTTGGGTAAGAGAGTTTCTCAATGTCTATTAGATCTGAATCACGTTGCTGGCAGTGGAGGCAGTCACTCTCCTCTCAAGCCCTCGTAGATCACCTTTCTGGAGCTGGTGCACAGGGGGTCCCTCTGTGGGGTGTGTCAGCCTGTTAACAGGACATGGGAACTAGGAGTTGATTCACTGTCAAACACCTGCACGCTGACATAACACATGGGGACCATTGTCAGTCACCACACCCACAGTTGCATAACTTTGTGCACCAAAAATGATCTGTCAAGAAAGGGAAGGGTCAGGGATAAAACATCACTTAGCTTTATTTGGTTGGGTTTAATCAGAGTGCTTGTGGACAAGTCGCATCTGAAGAGGTGTAGAGAAGTTTGTCTTTAAGTTGGCCATTCAACTAACAGCATTGTGGACTTAAAACTTATTAGTCATCCGTACATCAACAATCAATGGTTCCAGTGGTTTTACTTAGCAAAATACAAACACACACTCACAAGATATTTTAGCTGTTAGTTGTTCTTGTGGTTTTTGGATATATGTTGGAAGGATGAAATTGTTACAGGCCTTTGGGTATTATTATATAAATGAAACGTTGCGGAACAGTAAAGCTTAGTATTTTAATCTGGGCTGACTGATATTGTAGTGTTTATTAATAGGGCTACAAAGGTCGCTGCTTTATTGGTCTTCCTTAAGCCCACATATATTGGCCCTGCAGTTTTTCACAGGAAATCAGCGGCCAGAGTTTAACTGAACTCAAATTCTGTGTTGTGAGTGAAGACATGCAAGTTTGCTATGGGCTTAAGTTTGGTTTTCTATAACGTACAAGAAATATAGTTGTGATACTGATCAGTCAGGTGATTACACTAAAGGACCATAGGACACACTACAGCCCAGGGTAAGACAACATGTTGGTAACCTCACAGCAAGAAGAAGAGTTAATTTGTTTAGTGTATTTGGCAGAACATCCTGAAAAAGGCTTGTAGTTAAAGGTAATAAAACCAAGGATGTGGAGAACAGTACAAAAGCACAGTGCATGACCTCAGCACCCAGTTAACGTTTAGTGCAGATCACCTGCAGTCAGGTGGCACCCAGACGTCAGCTCAGTGGTCCAGTTGACCCTTGTGTGATCCCTGATTTATCATTAAGGTCATTTTCAGACATGACCTGTGGGTAAAGTCCAGAGAATTGGGTGCGAAGTTTGCCCAGAGTTTTTCTTTCACACATGCACAACGCAGCAGGAGGTTTTCTGCACAGACGCGTTCACAGAAGCAACAATTCCATTGTATTATTCAGGCGAGGGGTGGTGCTGCCGGCTTCATTGATGTGTGATGTTCTCCACCCAATCACTTCTTCCTCCATCAACATACAGACCATACAACCAATGTTTGAATAAAGATCAGAAGAATAAGGTGGCAAGTGGAAAATTACATGGGTGAAACACGTCCACTGTGTTCCTGCTCTCCCACTGCAGTTTTAGAGTGTGGCTAGTGGTAGTATGTACACAATAACTAGTGTTACTGCTCAAAGAGGTGGAGGTTTGGCACATGTCTCCACTGGGACCATGATTACAGTTTTAACCAGCTTAAAGCAGAACTCTTATTTGACTTGAATCAATCGACATCAACTTATTTGTGTATAAAAGTGCCTATACAATGCTTCTGCTTTACTCCATCATGAGGGACAGCCGCTGTCGTCAGCCTGAATGCAAGTGGTAATACTGCATTACAGTGATAACAAGATTTCATATTGGAAATTGAATCTAGACACTAACAGAAACAGAAATGTATCAAAACAGTGTAATCTATGACTCAATGATCAACAACTTATGGGGTGTGACAGGGCAACACATAGAAGGGAATTCAGGCGTTTTTGGCAGAGGGAAGGTGTGGACCGTACTGAGCAAACAGATGGCTCGATAAAGTGTAAGTCATACAACACAAGTGTTTTATTGATGTTTTGTTACTTACTAATTTTTTTCATTATTGAAAATATTGTAAATAATGGCTCAGATGTATATTTTTTACATTAGGATCCCTACAAAATTGACTATAATATTAAGAAATTATACAATTTGAATAATAATAAATAAAGACATTTTTAACCTCTAACCAACCTGATTTTGTAAGATAATGGTTGTACAATAATGATTCATTAATGGTAGTTAAGTCAAAAGTTTGAAATGATCGTGATATATCCCCCAGCATTACTGTGTCCTTTCCACAGCTGTGTTCTTTTAGACATGACAATTGGATAAAAATATTTTTGTGGCTCTGTTGTAAAGGCCTTTTAGGTGCAGAGATTTGCCCCCTCCCCTAGCTCGTTCTGTTGGACGTGTAAATAAGCAGAACGCCAGAGTGTTTGGCTAATCCTCATTTATAGTAATATGGAAGCCCTGTGTTTGCTTTAAGGACATTCCTTGGTGATTAGCTCGGCTAATACCAGAACCTGAACCTAAGAGCATCGATCACGCTCACCGCCACTGAGGACTCTATGTCTAAACTCACACTGGTACTTCACAATGCCAATGACGCGCCATGGCATTACAAGAAAGCTATTTCAAAATGTATAGACCTACAGGATAGATTTACATATAGCTGTAAAGACTGTGTTATGTTAATTCCACAGTTAAATCTTCCCTCTTAATACATGTTTTTGTGTCGTGGGCGATGCAGTGTGAGAAATGTGAGTGCTTAGTTGCATGAAATATAGTTCTGGTTGATTTACAGGTTCACTAAATGTTGCAAAGCAGGAGTGGAAAAGAAGCAATAAAAGATAATAGTCCTGTGGCTGGACGACTGGTGGAGATCTTCCTCGCTAATTACCTTTACTTGGTGAAATAAATAGCTGCCTGCTTGTCTTAGTGTTAGTACTCCAGCAATGTTGCAGGGGTTTGATTGACAGGTGCCTCTTTATGCTTGTGTTGCCTTTTTTGTACTGCTCAACATTGGGGTTTGTGGCATAACTTAAAGGTCCAGTGTGTAAGATTTAGGTGAAAGGGAACTATTGGCAGAAACTTAATGTAGAATAATCCTCATGATGTTTTCACTGGTTTGTTTCATCTAAATTGTATGAATTGTAGTTTTCTTTACCCCAGAAAAGGCCCTTTATATTTAAATACTTTATATCTACATTGAGGGGGTCCTCTCTACGGAGGCTGCCATGTTTTTTACATTAGTCCAGACTGGACAAACTAAACACCTTTTGAGTTTTCATGACAACTGAAGTCCACCACAGGTTCTCTGGCATGTTTGGAAGGGGAGGGTGAGATGAGGGGTGTTCAGCTGCAACATGTAATTTCAACACTAGATATCACTAAATTCTACACACTGTACCTTTAAATGTGTTGTCCCTGTCAGAGTGAGTGACTTGGGGAGCAGGCACATGTAACCCTGAGAATCATTGCTGCAGTTCATGTTAAGAAGTTAAAAAAGGGTGAAGGAGGGGTGTATGTTGAAGTGCATTTTTCCATGAGACAGTCTACACTATATTTGGCCATGGGGGTTGGCTAGAGAGACGCAGGCATGTGCTTATTTGTGTTTTATGCTCCTCCAGTCTTTCTGGAACTGAGTAGGCCCAAGCAAACAGCCCACATCAGGATGGAAAAGGACCAGTGTTTATATGCTCCACACGGCTTCACTCCCACAAAACAAAGCCAACCCTCGAAGAGAAACCAGAGCCCCTTCTTTGTCTGTCCAATCAGATCGGGAGCTCTAAGGGAGTGTTTTTTTCCCCCCACGTTTTCTGGCCTTGTAGAGCAGCTATTTAGATTCTTCATAATAGGCACAGGAAGTCAGCGTAGCCTCGGAGAGCTGTGGCCTGTTTCTGCCCCGCTGAACTGTGCTCTGATCTGGTCGTGGATTTTTATTGTGTAGTCAAGATGCAAAATTCCAGTCATTTTACAACAGAGAGGCATTGTGAGAGAATCCATGCAGAGTGATGGTTGGATGTACTATAGAGTCTGTTTTTCTTCATTGGAGCTGGACAGTGTAAACTGATATTTCCAAGTAGAGGCCTCGCTCAGGATAGCAAAGTAAATGTTCGACTTCCTTCAGCTTTGTCACGTAATTTCATTGTAACAGCTTTTAAATGGGGGGGGGGGCACTTGTTGTGTGGTCTGTAGTCATGTTACCAAAAATGACCATGCGTTAAATGTCCCAACACACACACTTTTAGTTAAATTCCCGGAAATGTGGAAACAAGTGAAAATAGCTGACCAAAAGCATTATTGCTTAATTATTAATGGGACAATGCTAATGTTGTGTGTCCCAAGCATGAAATTGTGATCGTTAGTTTGATAATCGAGCTGGTACCAAGATTTGGGCACACCCACCATCAAGCGTTAAGCCTAGTTTATGCTTCTGCGTCGACACCCCACCTACGCCGTAGGTCGACGCATCCCCCTACGCCGTAGCCTGACGCGCACCTCCAAAAAATTCTAACTACGCGTCGCGTTGATGCGGACCGCAAGCGCTGTTGCAGTTGCTTTTTCCGGTTTTTCTTCCTCGTCGTAAAAAACACCTCTGCAAACGTCTTCTCTGTCGCCTGCGCTTCAACATTTGCAATATAAGCATTTGTTCTTCAATGTTGATGAGCTCCAACTCCAAATACAACTGCTCCACCTCGGTCGCCATTGTTTACTGTTGTTTACTTTACGGAAGAAAAAGCGAGGATTCGGCTATAACCACACAAACACACAGCCACACCCCCCCTAGCGGCATGGCGGTGAATTGCAGAGCAACGCGTTCCCTCGACGCAGAACTTCGAATGCTCAACGACTGTGTCACGTCCACGGCGTCGACGTGACGCAGAAGCATAAACTAGGCTTTATCGTAATGCTTGTGTGACCAAGTCAGTTTGAGGCTGATGGTTTACTGAGAGATGGTTTTGTTCTTTTAATTTATAGACTTTTACATGAGACTCAAGTGTTTTTTCTGTTGTGCACAAGGGCCCCTGGACTTAATTTGTTTGGTCCCAGACACTTCTTCAATCTCCTGCACTCTTTATTTT